TGAGGGCTTGTTTGGATACCATGAAAAAAAAAGGAAGAAAAAATTAACAGAAATAACAAATAAAATGCTATAGGCGTGGTGAAACCTTTGTAATATACAGAAAAAACAAATGAAATTTTGTTCAAGATACATGAAAATAACATTAAAATATATAGAGCTAAAATTTTCATCATGAAATATAGTAATAATCTTTATATGTATGTGAGCTTTATGGATGTTTCTATGTTTAGGTCTAACGAATAATAATGTGCAACTGCCAGCAATATTATGTGAAACAGATTCTACACAGAAATGTCCTATTCTAGGTGATACATAGATTGCTCATGAGCATTGAAGTGTACTGTTACTGATTAGATATAATGTATTCATATACCAGTAAATATGGATGAGCACTTGAATATCATTGCTATTTTATGGCACCATTAAAATGCCTATCTTCAATGTTATGCGATTTAATTATCGTTGTGAATGTTGTTGAAGATGAATTGTTAAAAACTGCTGTTGGAAATCAATCTACCAATTGTTTCAACATTTACCTCTTTAATTTATGTTTGAAAATTAATTCATTAATCAATCAATGAAATCAAAACAGATAAATGATTTAATTGGAGAGAAGTTTTATTGTTGATACTCTAAACAGACTACTTTGGTTTGGAGAATAATAGCTGATGTAATTTTTGCTGTCTGATAGAAAGAGTAGTTTTTTCATGAGTAGAACAACTTTTTTTTGTCTACATCAATAAAATGATTGTTGATTGTGGATGAGAATCAGTGAGAAAGTTAAATACAAGTCAATTCCTATATTTTTTTTTTAATCAAATTTTACTTTTTCCCAATTACTCAGAAGTTTTTCAAGTATTTCTTCTTTTCTTTCAAAAAAGAAACAAGTATGTTGCTGTTCACCTTTTGGTTTTAACTGTCTATCCAGTGATCTTCCTACTTTAGTGATTCTAAAAAAGTATTGAGTTTTATTGCTATTGAAGCTTTTTGTTAATTGAAAAAATTTCCAAACTTCCTGATGATTTTTCTAATTTAAAAATTTATTACTTCCACTTTGATTCTAAATCTTCTAATGAAGATATTGATGCCTGTTATGATTAATATTCAATCAATGACTAGTAGTAAATTTTATCAATATTTAGAAAGAAAGTTTTAAAAGATGTTTATAAATAAAAACTAATGTTGATTAGTTACATAAGTTTTTTTAGCTAATTTCCTTCAATTTATTTGTAAGATAAAAAAAAATTGGAACATAAACATTATTAAGGTTGACATACTTTTATTTATTGATAGATCAAATACAAAAATAATTAGTGGAGGTGTGAGAGAATTATAACTAAAATGTTAATAGTTGTATCGTTGACCCAACAAAACTTAATTCATTTAATTTTTAAATAAAACAAATGGCTTGTTGAATTAATAATGACAGAGAATCAGCGATTCTAATCTCACAACAATTTATTTTTATATTTCTATTATTTTGTCTGAGCATCATCAACAAATATTTATTTAATAGATCGATCAAAAGTATAACAATAAATTTATTCAAAAATTTCATTATTGATAAACTTAACATTTGTATGAGCCAAACGATCAGGACATTGTATCAATTTAATCTCACGACTTTTTATTAAAAATTATTCGATAGCAAATTTTAATATTATTAAATTTATTCATGAGCATAAAATGTTTTTGTGAAAATTGTATGAAAATGGGGATCAAAGAAAAGTCGGAAACTTTTTCCTTTAACGACACTTTTTTTGTCAGACGTCGCCTCGACATGATTTCACCAGCAATTTTAAGATACCGGTTATCTGTATCTTAATGTCGTGCGTAGGTTTGACCCTATACAATGGATCCTCCTTCGAGTTATTTATGTATTATCTACGTTCCGCATACTAACAAACATATCCATATATCTAAGTACTTACCTCCTTCGCAATTGACTCGATAGAAAATATTTAATTTATTTCATGTTTTTGCATAATGTTATTCTTTACTGTATGCATATCAATAAATTAATTTAATTCGTTTTATTTTTATTATTGAGATAGTTAAAAAATTAATGAGATTAATGATAACAGAATACCCTTTTGTTATATGTATATTTAGAAATTAACTTTGTATAATATTTAGCCTTTTTTAATTTAAATATTTTCATTGAGTCTCAATTATAATCGATTAATTGAAATTAATGTCAAAATGAATCTATTAATTATTATTATTCAATTAAATTAAATTAATTTTGTAAAAACAATCTATTATCAAATTCAATAACCTTAAATAACGGTGTTAACGGTGTTCCTGGAATTAAAATAACGAAAAAAGATAAAGTTAAATATTATTTTATACAAAAATGTATTTTTTTTTATGTAACTCAAGTTCAAATAAAAAGGTATTACTATTTGAATGAGAGACTAAAGAATATTGTGTGAAACTAAGGTTAGATTTTTTTGAGAAACTTTTTCCTGTAAATATTTTTTCTTATCAACTTATTTTTAAATAAAAATCAGTAACATGTTATTCATGTATATTCACTTTGAAATTTAAGCTATTTAAAACAATTTTCTTCCATAACAGATTATTAATTTCATATCAAATCGTTAGTCATGTACACTTTTGTCAGGCAGCTGAATATTTTTAATCCACTACTGACAATGTTTTAACATAATAATACGTGTTCAAATAACATAATTGTTATTCAACATAAACAATGTGTAGTAAAATAAATAGACCAATAAATGTATTCCATGAAAGTACATAACATCCGTGTTAATATTGGGGCCTAATAAATATGAGTCTTACTTGTTAGCGTCACTTGATGATGTACAAATAATCGTGCTGAATGTTTCATCCTTGCATCACAATTTATCTCTTTTAAAATTTACACTTATTATCGAATTTTATTTTCAATAAACATATTTCAATTGTTATCAATATTATGCTTATTAATTATTTAATACTAAGCTATAAATTTTTTTTTCTTAAATGTTTAAGTATCATCACTGACAATTAATTCAAAATAAATATGATATTTTAAATTCAAGTATTTGCGAGCACAATGACAAGCGTATAATTAAATGTCCAATTAGCATGACGTGACACTTAAAATTTCAATGAATGCAATTAAAATAATGTTATTTTATTTATTTAAATAATATGATTACAATATTTTTGTAAATACATAAATAAAGATAGTTTGAATTTCGACATGATAATTTATCTTTTTATTCGAAATATTCTATAAATTATCATCTCAAACGTAAGACTTTGATGGCCTGTAGATAATATTTTATTCACTTCTATTGACATTTGTTCCTTCTATAATAATACTACTACAGAAATAGAATCAGGCTTTTTTTTTAATTTTATTTTCTCTGTGTTTACAATAGGAAAATTTGCTAAATCAATATAATGATTATCCAAAAAAAAACAAAAAAACAGTATATGAATTATTTAATAGCTAAAATAAATTAAACAAGATCATGACATTGTTACGTTTGAGCATAAAAACATGGATTATAATTTAACAAATTCTAGGTATCTTTATTTAATTATATATTTAGTTTTATAAAAATATTAAGATCAAATCAAACTGATCTCTATCATAAAATTTCATCAAAGTAACCATAAGAAAAGTTTATCTTCAAAAATGAATAAAATAACAACAAATGAGAATTAGAATTTCAATCTCACAAGTATTGAAAAGTTTTTATATTATTGAAAATGATGTTGAATTGAGAAAAATTGCAGTTTTACATTTTCATGTCGTCAAATATACAGACATCTTGGGAAATGCTCAAATCACATTGATACGATGATATGAAAATGGGTTTTTTTTGTGTATTTTACCAATAACAGAAATATCTGTAGGCAAAAAAATTTCACATCTGAATAAGTTAGGAGATACTCTTTTATTAATAATGAAAATAAAAAAAAACATGAATGTTTAATTTTTTTTTTGCAAATTTAAAATTAATTATAATTTCGACTCATAATTGCCTCTTCATTTTCTCTAAGCAGACAAAAGTTAAACAATACTCGGTGTAATAAAACATCAATATTACAATTTGTGTGGGAAAAATGATAACGGTATTAACGGTAATTAAACATGAAATAATGAGAGTAATGACAAGGAAAATAAACTGGCATTTTTGATAACCAAAGTAAGTAAAAGATAAAGCTCTTAAGTGGAATAAAATGACCAGTATAACAGTGTCTTTGTTAACTGTAATTAAAATCCACAAATATCGAATGAATTTTCATTGAATTGGTCAGTTCAAGTCTTCGGTTACCTAACACATTGCTCAATATTATCATCAACATTAAAGAAAATAACGTAGGACGTGGAACAATAAACAGAATAGAAGTAATAGTAATTGAAGAAAACGAAATGTTACATAAGTAAATAAAGCAAATCCATATAAATAAATGGTGAAAGGTGCTTTGAAAGAAAGGACGAAATTTCTTAAAATTAGATTTAACCATCCAACCTCAAAGAGTAAAAAAGAATAGGACTCGAGACTTTTTGAATAATGGAATAAAATAATTTTACTCAACATTTTTCTACCTCTTTTTAGATATACTCTTAACTCAAGTGACAAAGGTAAGTGTCTTTTAGACTATACACATTCATAATTTGCAAAGGAGTATGTGCGGGTGCGTGCTTAGGAACAAAAGAGTAAAGTGGTAAAAGCGCGTGAAGGGGATGTCGGTGGATGGTCGAAGGCGCGAGACTAGTGGGGTGTAAGGGTAGTTGAATGGTAGGGAGGAGTAGGGTTTAGGATGGGGATGAAAAATAAGTGGAAGTAAGGGCGACAGAGAGAGTATAGTCGTGCGGGTCGGAAGGCCGTTGGTATAAGGGGTGGGAAAATGAAACCCCGTTGTTGAGGGGGGATGCGCAACGCATTAAAATGATGACGTGTGACGCGCAGCGTGGGTGTTAGTTCTGGTGAGGGCGCCAGCCGGCTCGCTCGCTAAACTAACCCACCATCCCTAACCCTCCAACTACCGCCACCTCCCTCGTCGATTTCGCTCACTATACAGCTTCACAGCTCCGGCTCAGCTACAGATTTTTGTAGAGGCTGACCGTCGCGTTGCCGGGAAAGATTAAAAAAGCTCGTTTATTAAGATACGCGAAAATCATTTAACGACACGCGTATCTGTCCGGCTTCGTTTTCATCCTTCAAACTTGAAACAAATTCAACATTTTACATCACGAGGATAAGAATCTAAACAATTTTTTAACTCAACTACTTCAACTACAACTACAACTACTACTACTTGAGGAGGTTTTTTATTAACAAAAAATAACATATTCACTTCTTCTTCTTCCTCTTATTCTCTTCCTCGTCTTGCTAAATTCATTACTCGGTTAATTGCTAACAATCTCGAGGAGAGGTGGCGAGGATATCGCTGTTCTTAATGACCTCTGATAGTGCCTGAAGAAATCGACGATACATTATCGTCGAGAAGCCAATCTATACATTATTTATTCATATTATTGTTTGTTGATTATATTTTTCCTATTACGTTTTGACATTTTACTTGATTGTTTTTTTTTTTCTAAACATAAAATATCAAATACGTTTTCTACGAATTACTGAAGAAGTTTCAAAAAAAAAAAATAATAATTCATGTTATGCTGAAAATAGTAAAAAGTGTGTAGTGTTTTTTATTTAAAATAAAAAAGAAATTTAATTTTAGTATTTAAAAAAGAAATATTAAAGTCAGTGAAGTACGTTGATTTATCTTCAGGTGTATATAAAGTGGAAAGGTGAGTGAAGTGAGGTTTTGCAAGAGTGAAGGAGGTGAAGAGTAGGCGAGTCACAGAGATTTATGTGAAAAAAAAAAAAACGAGAGAAAGACATTAAAGAAAACTAGAGTTCAAGAAATATAAGGAAAAAAAAAGTTTCAAAAAGTAAGAAAATAAAAAAAAGAAGAAGAAAGTGGATGAAAGAGAGTGAATAAAAGGTTTAGGTATATGACGAAAGTATATATAAGAGAGTGGAAGAAAGAAATTAAGTGGGAGGAAATAAGGAACTGTCGTATAAGGGTGAATCGCAGGTGCAAATGATCGCACGGTTTTAACTACGCCAACATTGACGTCGGCACTTTTAGTAGTGACTGAGAAAACAAAAGAAACTAAAGACAAGACATCAATTATTTATATCAACTCTGATTGTATCTTTGTAGTTTTTCCCTCAATAACTGCTGCGATTCTGAAGTTAGACATCACGTATAGATAAGCAGGCGAGAAAAGAGAAGAGAAAAATACCAAGATAATCGAGAAGAAGAAGAAGAAAAGGTCACACTAAGTACCAAGACTACTCTTTAACAGAAGTGGGAGGACTTGAAAGAAGGGGAGTGATCTTGGTGGAGGAAGAAAAGCAGGAGAATAAACGGAACTCGAGCCAAGGGATTGTCACTCGACAGTCACCTCATCTGCTCGAAGTATATATTTTTTACCAACATATTACCGGGAACGTGGACACATTTGTGATACACTCATACGTTGACTTGTACTACTGAAATAATTCTAATGTCAAGATGTCAGCAATTATAGTTAACAACGTTTGGAATATTTGTTAAAAAGAATAATCTACCATTCAACAACACACCAACATATACTTTTATTATTGGAGATTTGTCGTCACAAAAGTCAAAGCATCGTCGACAACTTAACGCACACGGGCGTACGTAGAAAAAAATAAAACTTGAAGTGAAAATACCACCAAATATATCACGCTCTATGATTTATTTCACTATACGTCTCCATATTTTTTATGCACTTTTGAGACACCTGTTGATTATGCCGAAGCTCACGCGGCCCTTTTCCGCTGTTACTTCTCTTCGGTGAATGCTCGAGGCCTCTCACTGTTTATCTATCTCATTCACCATTCAATGCCAAAAAATTTCAACCTTCTCTCAATAGTTTTTGTTATTTCCTTTTTTTTATATTATTATTATTATTACCATCACTGACATACAATAATTTACTACTTTGCCATTGTTGTTATTATTTATCAATTAAATTGCTCTTGTTGTTGTTATTGTAACAATTGCAATAATTCAAATTAAATTGAAAAACGAAAAAAAAAAGCACAAGATTTGTGATATTGAACAAAAAAAAGTCAAAGAATAAATCTAAAATAATTAACTAAGTCAAAATAAATAAACAAAGCAAAGTAGATATATTTGATTATATAATTAATTATTGAGCAAAAGTAAAATAAATACACTTTTATATAACTTTATTTTGGCTGCTCGATTAGATATTTTTTAATGTACTCGCACATATATGTATATTAATTGTTGAAAAGCACCTAAATAAAATTAAATAATAAGCACGGTATTGTTTTATACCAGCACGTTATATGCGATTCACATTTATTGTTACATGGCATTGAAACAATAAACAATAATGCACCAAAAGCCTTAGCATGTATAAAGTGCACATTTGTAAACGTATATAACATATATTTAGAAACAAATAGTGTATATTTATAACTAACAGTTTTTCACTCACGTAGCCTTAAACGATTTACAACCCGGAGAAAGAATATTTCTATGTATACACGCACATAAAATAAATAGTATATTTATATTTATTGATTAAATAAACGAAAAAAAAAATAAATAAAAGGTGTAATAGTCTATATATTATTATATACATATTTATATTGATAGATGCCGTCCAAACAGATGTTTAGAAGTATTTAATTAGTACCTTTTTCGTCGCGAAGGACGCGCGTTGTTATGTTGCATTGTTGATTGTAATAAATAGAGGAAAATATATTTATTTAGATAAAAGATAGATTTATATAAAAATTAATAAATATTATATATATATATATATACATACATATATATGTATACATATAAAGTACTTAATAAAGTAAAGTGGAAGTAAAGTAACGTAAAAGTAACTTTTACACGAACATAAATACAAATTAAAGTAGCAGTAGGAGACATTGTTTGTAAGGTGAATCGACTTGAAGTAAAGATTACGAAGAAAGTTGAGACGTGAGTTGTAATATAACGATATAGCAAGGGTATGAGAGTGAGACAAAAATAGAGAGTTGAAGATAAAAAATCGTAAATACTTTAGTGAATAGAAAATTTGAAATACGATGAATGAGAAAAACGATATTTTCTTGATATGATTTTATTTGTGGAATGAAAGTAAATAATAGTAAATCGTAATTTCATATAAAATAATAATTATACTGTTTACTTAACGCACAAAACAAAGCACAATTAGCACCTGCACCAAATGCACGACGATCACGACGACCAGTATTATCAGCACCAACACTGGCACCATCAGTGTCACCATGAACCACTTAAATATGCATCAACAGTTGAGTTTATTAAATGGAACATCAGGACAACTTTTTGTAATTATCACCTGATTTCAGGAGGATATAAAGAAGAAGAGACTCGTCTTCAACAAGGAATTAAACGAGATTACGTACATCGTTGGAACTCTTGAAAATTGGAGTGCATTGAGCTTAGCAGTAACTAGAGCATCTCGAATAAATAGAGAGAAAAGAAAGAAGAAACGAATTTGACGAAAGGATAAAAAGCAAAAAATTCAAAAGAAAAAGTGAAAGGAAACATCAGTGGGTATTGCTAAGGATATCACAAATCTTGTACGGTTGATTCATCAGTTACCTTTTATCCATACCTTCCTGCCTTTTTTCTCATTTTTGCGACCTCAAAGTCTTCCTTTTGCTTGTCCATCAGACTTTATCTTCCTTTTCTGCCTCCTTATCTTGTCCTCACAATTGCGGCAATCCTTCCGGTTTCTCATATTTCCTTTCCTCTCCCCTGTCAAAACCTTCTTCCTTCTTTACAAAACTTGAATCACGTACAAAAACCAATAATTCAAAATTGAAAAACAAAAAAAGCTCTTTTATCATCAAATAAAATTGATTTGTGAATTTTGCGGATTTAGTCATGAACAGAATGACAAATCAATAGTGCAAATAGAAGTAAAACCATTACAAGAAGTTATAGAAGACTATAATCTCTACTACGTAAGCAACTGGATCCTAATAAGACCAGCAGTGGTAGATAGAAAATAAATTATCTCTTTGGAGAAAATTTAATTAAGTAGAACCAATTGGTTTATCAAAACCTGTAAAGTGGCACCAAAGAAACAATTGTGGAATCATGACAAGTCAAATGATATGGCTGTTGGGTTATGTCAGTCTTGGACTGGCTCTAACTTTAGGCAATCGTCCAAGTATCCATAATCATGCCCAAATTAGATCAGGCTTTGATAATCGTTTAAGGACAAATGATCAAACGATCAACGAAAAGGCCTCAATAGTTGCTAAAAAGTCTAGTGATTCTGATTCTTCGTACCATTATGGGCCTTATGATTTACCGCCTGATTGGAATATTTATCAAGATCATGCAAGATCAGCTGTACCTGATGATAATAATAATAATGGTATTAATAATCCTCGAGGTTACAGTGATACCATTCTAAATGATTTCTCAAATACAGTATTAGAATCAATAGATTCACATCGGGATCTATTGAATACTCAAGGACAAGTGAATATAAATAATGAAGAAAGCGATAATATTGGAGATGATGACGATGACGATGATGATGATGATGATGAGGCTAGGATACATAATAGTAGACACTCTCAGTCTCAACAAAGTTCAGAGCGAATATTACGCTCTGAAGCATTGAATCAAAATGATCTTACGAATCAATATAGTCTGAACGAACGACTGATCGATAGTCAAAATAGTCTCGCATCGACGTCCCACAAGAGCTCGTTCCTCTGGTCTCCAGAGCCGTTTGGCTATCCATGGAAAATCCAGCCGAACGTTGATACTAGATCCCCTCTTGGGAATTTCTATACTAGCAGAACACTTGGCAAGAGAAATCAGGTCGCCGGGACACGAAGAAAGTCTGTCGATTCCCGTACCACTTCCCAACAAGGACAACATCCATCGTCTTTTACTTCCGGTATTCCTGAAGTATCCATGGGCAGCATGGCGTCACAGTTGATGCTCAGATCAGCACGTGGCAATCGTCAATACGACGTTCCTCAAATAGGTAAGTTTTCACATTGATACTTTATTATTAGTTTGATTCAACTTATCTTTTTATCAATTTTTATTATATTTATAGAATTCAATTATTTTTGAATAATTTATTTAGATCTGATAATGATTAGATATATTCAATTAATAAAAATAATTTTACCTTCCTTTGTTCAGTCTATTATTTCTAATAATATAATAAATTGATAAAATGATTACCTTGATATAAATATACATTTTACTAATTTTTACATGAGCAGGATTGATTGAACTTTGAATTCAACATTCAAATTCCGTGATATTTAATTTGAATGATGATCAGAGTTAGCTAGTGCACATCCATCAAATTTTTTATTTCTATAAAATAGAATAACTACTTCAATCTAGAATGTAAATGTCAACTATTTTTCATTGGTAGGATGAATTTTTTCCCAAAATGATTAGTTTTCATGTCGTAACTTTTATTCTATGACTAGAACAAGATCTTCATTGGTACAAGTTTTATTTTAAAATTCTTTAGTACTAAATAAATAAGAATATAAAAAAGTGATGATTAACAATACTTTATTGAAGTCATAAAAATTCAGAGTATCGATTTTTTCAAGAACTTGATACTCTTGACCTAAACTTTAATCAAGTGAAGTAATTTCTCAATTATCTACTTGATTCAAATAATACCAAACCACTGAATTATAAAAAAGACTTTCATTCACTGAAATATAACTCTAATAGTAACAAAAAAATTTGAATAAACTTAACTCATAATTTATTAACATCAATGAATTGTTACATCATGCTAGAATATTCAACCCAGAAAAAAATTTCACTAAAACTACCTACACTTTATGTCATTCCAGTAATTTTCACTTTGAAAAGAAAATAACATTGTTATATCCACTAATCTCCTAGTATTTCATAATGTTTGACTACTCTGGTATAAATAATTAATCTCTTCATTGTAGTAACATTCAAATATATATATAACATAATGCATAATAAAACCACTGAAACTGAAAGTGAGTTAAGTTAAACTTTCTTATTTATTCAACACTTGTATATTATTTTGTCTCAATAGCATAAACATACTACGACTTACCCTATCACTATTTTATCCCCACTTGTTGCTCACATTATGCTAGGGCGCTTATAACAGGTTAATTCAAGCGGAATCAAAATACATTTTTAATTAATCGAATTACTAGAAACAATTTGATTAACAATTAGACATTTTATTGTCATATTTATCGGTGTTGTCAATTTTATAGAACTTTAATAATCAGATTTTTGTCTTTACTCACAAAATTGATGTGTTGAATAGTAATAAATAAATTTGAGAGAAAAAAATTTTGATTCTTCTTTTTTTTAAATATTTATTTTTCAAGAACAAAATTGACTGTAATTTATCTACAAAAGTGATTTTTTTAAAAATAGAAAAATATCGTTAAAAATAAATTTCAGTTTAACTCAATCATAAAAAAATGAACACTATTTTAATATTTTTTTATTCAATATAAAATGCAACTTTTTTTAAACAAGTAGATGCTTTTTTTCACTCTTGAAAAAGGCAAATTCACTGTCAAGTCAGTCAATTTTAAAATACATCTCAGGATAAAATCATAGAGAAATTTTCCATCCTAACATCAAATGTTGAATATTATTTTAATCTTCTATTGACTGGAAGAGTTGGTGACGTTGAGAATATGCAGAGAGAAAGAAAGAAAAAGTGTGGGTGGATAAATAGCAGAATAATGAAAAGAGATAATATTACAAGACTACAAAGAGAAATCTTTAGAAGAAAAAAAATTACTCCATTTACGATGACAGTGCATGACATTTTCAGTCGTTTGTTTTATTATACTTTTCCATGCTAGATAGCAACATTTATAAAAAAGATAAATGAATAGTAACCATTAAAATAAATAGGAAAGTTTTGTAACATTAATTTGTTATATTTCCCGAAATATTTAGATAAAAATGGTAAAGTTGTATATAGTGAAGAATAGATAAAATCCTTGTGTTGGATAATATAAAGCAATCTTAGGAATACCTGCTGTGTAAATAACAGCACTTCCCAAAGAGATATATCATCGCGGTGTACCAGCATAACTGTAAGTGTCACTAGACGTTGATAAATTGTAAGAAAACGCACGCGAAAATTGTTTGTACGTGTTGAGTTCCACACTTGTGTGCTGCTTGAAAGTGGAAACGGCGCCACGGGAAAAGTATTGGACGTCGCGACCCACAGGATGAATAGAGGAAATCAGTGGCGACGCTTGCGAACGACATGTCAGTAAAGCTCCTCGTAATCTATGATTTATAGTTTACAGTGATTTGATCTCTCACTATTTCTAAAAGACTCTGGGGATCAGTAGATGTCAGAATTGCAAAAACATCCAAAGACGTGGTCCCTCGTAATGGTCTATATTATGACATCAGATACGTGAAAAGCATTTTAGGTCATATTGATGTTTCTTGTTGAAAGCTTGATTTGTAAAGCTTTATTTTCAACTGTATTTGAAGTTGGGTTAGTATTCGGTTTTGTTTATTGTTGATTACTCCATTTAAGTTAGTTAGTGAAAAAATATTTGATACCATTTTTTTAAGAAGATGATTGATGGTAGATTGTTGGGGGAAGATAATTGTAATGGAATATTTTTAAGTAATAGGGGAGAATGATTTGAATTTGATAAAAATTACATCAGATCATAGAATTTCATTCTCAGTAGTGAAAATTGTTGAAAATTTTTTTAAATTTAAAATTTAAAGTTGATTCATTACATATCATCGTTTATCAATTTATGAAATAAAAGTGGATTTTTTGAGGATTTTGTGAAATATGTTTGTAGATATCTCATGTTTCGTACTTAAAGTAGCCTACTTTTATTACTAATTCATTGTACAACAGTAATATTATCATAGCTGGAGCGTGAGAAAATAATTATCCATCTCAAAAAAAAAAACAAAATAATTTAACCATTTGAAGTATATGGATGTAAAAAAAATAATTATTATTCAGTTGCAATTTTTCACACTTTAAACTTTAGTGAATTTATTTTGATTCATTCTTCTGCATCACTCTAGTTGTTGAATTATTTACGTTTATTAAATATTTGAAAGTGTTGGAGTGAAAAATAGAATAAAGTTTTTTTTATAAAATATAAATTTAATAAAATATTCCATTTCATACAGTTAAATGATTTTATGCTTTACGGAAGTACGAGTTATAATAAGTAAATTATTATCTATTTATTTTTCCGAATAAAAACTTTTTTTTGATAATAAAAAAAAAGTAATTTAATACATTCAAGTTCACCATTTTCAGCAACGAAGTTAAATATTTTTTACAAAGATTCTTAATGAAATATAATTTTAATTAAACATAGACTATGTTTATTAATAATGTTGTAAGATGTATTGTAATCCAGTCATACTTTGAATTTGAGTATTTTTTCAATCATTTTAATACTGATGGAATCATAATGAATAAAAGATTAGCAAAAAGAAAAAGAAGAGTAAAAATATAACGATAACGAATATTTGTTGACAGAAAAATGAAGGGCAATGCTAAATATGAACCATCATCGAGGATAAATGTCAGCATTACTCGCAACACATCGATTGTATCAAGACCTCTTGAGTTTCCTAGATATTAAATATTGATAAATTGGCAAAAAAAAGAATGAATTTTAGAGTAAAATAAAAGAAAATCATTTGTTTCTTTTTCCTCCAACCAAAAGCAATTTCCGGTAAAATATTTTAAAAGCAAAATTACCTTCGATGTTGACAAATTTCTTCTTTTTCGTTTTTAATTTTTTTATTAACTTATGTTATTTTTAATTTTCATTTACATCTTAAATATAAATATAAAGTTTATTCCGTCTCTAAAACAAGGAAGTAAGTAAAAAGGAAAAAAGTAAAGTAAAAGAGTCTTGACCATAATTAATGGCCGACGGGAGCAATAAGGCCAAGGTGAATATTTCATCTCGTCATAAAAGAGGGGATGTACACCACACTAGAGACATGAAAATATATAAACAAGTAAATGGGAGGGAGGGGGAAAGATAAAAGCTTAGGTACAAAAAAACTATACTAACGAAAAGTTACTTGTGAAAAGATACCATGCATTTTACCCCACTATTCTTGTATAAGATTAATCAATATAGGACACATTCACATACCATACCCATCATCAGATAAAATAATAATCATATTCTTATTTCATTTTTGCTATTTATTTCATCATGTATTCCATCTTCAATGTTTATTTCACCTTGACTTATTTACTTTACAATATATAATGTTGTATTTATTTTATCTATATATACTCACATATACGTATGAATTAATTCCATTCAATCGATTTTCATCAAAATAGCAAAGAATCATTCATTAAATATAGCAATCCTTTACGATTCAATAAACAAGAGATTCTGTCATGTAAGCAAGAAATGATAAACAAGATTAATAACAACTTTATCAACAGTTATTGGAATAAGTTGGTAGAGTAATATTATCGAATAATTAATGAAGTTTTGAAAATAAGGGGAATAATGTTGTCTGATGAAAAGGCAAGAATATTTTTATCAAATAAGTTTTTTTCTTTTGTCGTTGGTGGACATTCAAATATTTAATTATTCTTATTTTACTATGATCATTATTAAGTTTACTTGAACTTCATTTACCTAATTCACTTTTATAAAAAATATTCTTTTTAATTGAAAAATTTAATTAAAGCTAAAAATGAAATTTTAGAAGATAGAATTATTGATTGGTAAAAAAGCTAATTTCCATAAAATAATAATGAATTTTCCAAGCACAATATTATGCTTAGCTCAATAGATTTGTTGTTCTTCTATACTGAATAATTTATATAATTGCACAACCAAACATTTATCTGATTGGGATTTATTTTTATTACTAAAGTAATTCAAAAATTAGCTAGTTCAACAAAAAAAATAAACTGCTGTGCAATTTTTTATATAGCCTTTTTACTGCCCCAAAGAATACTCCGAT